GGAGTTGGTCTTTCAATAAAATATACGCTTGGTGTCACTACGGGGCCTGCGGGCGCGTCTACTCTCTCTCTCTCCGCGGGCTTGGCCTGTTGGCAACGCCAGCCACCCCCTCCATGTGAGCATCTGTGTGTGCGTGCGTGCGTGTGCCTTTGGCAGGAGCTGGTGGGAATGGAAGCCGGTGCCAGCTTTGAGCCATTTTGCCTTGGCAGATGCCATGCCCGCGAGGGCAGTCTTGCCCCAGAGCGATGCCCACTGCCGTTTGGGCATGTAAGTGGGACCCTCTATGGTATCCTTTGTGGAGGGGGGGGGGAAATGGCCAAGTGGCTCCATGCCAGAGAAAATCCCAGAAGCTGGCTCCCCTTTTTCTCATTCGTTCGCCACTTCTCACCCCGACAGAAAGCAATGGTCTGGACTGTTTCTCAACAAGTGTGAGCGGTTGTGAGCAGAAAAGGGTATCCTGCAGAACATCTAGAGGGCTGCCACTGATGTTATCCATGTTCAGGCAGCCCTCTGCTAGGTCAAGCTCAGCATCTCTTTTCCTGCTGGCAAGGTGGGCACGATCTCCTGCAGCCATCTCAGGCCACTTCCTGGCGGTGAGGTTTTTGGAAGAAATGAATTTCTTGGATTTTTAAAACAGGAGTTTCTATATACATCCACTGCTCACAAATTCCAACAGAAACTTTCCTCACATAGAACTACCCACGGCTAGAGGATTTCAAAAGATGAGCCCATGATCTGTAGAATGGTTACTGGGAGAAGACCGAAGGGAGAACTGCTTGGATGCGCCTCTTGTCCTTCTGTGGCAGAATATTATGAAAAGCTTTTTGGACTTAGTGAAATGGTGAAACAAAGCTGTGAGTCGGTACAATACAGACAATGAAGAAACATGCACACCCTTTCAACTCTCGGTTAAACTCATGTTGCCATGCCCGCTCGGCAGAATGCAGATTGTGTTCCAGTTTCCAGCCCTTTAGGGTAAAGGCCAGCCAACGAAGAAAAGCTACACTGGGAGTTAGCAAGGAGTGTCACTGGAAACCAGTGTTAAAACCATCCCTACGATGTGAAAGAAAGACAGTGAAGAAAGATGGGGACAAAACTCCAATCATCTGAGATGCGGTGCCAAATTTGGTGCTGATCCGAAATCCAGTTTCAAAGTTCTATATTTCTCTTTGGCTGGGCTGCCCCATTTTGAGAACAGCCACGCAGAATGCCGATTTACTCTGCTGCACCTTAATATTGCTGCACTCTTGTGCAATAACGCTTGGCACCACGATTCATGCACAGCGGCAACCCAAAAGCCACGAGCCCCACAACACAGGCCCGAGGCGAACCTGCGGGTTGTGTGCAAAAGCCCACCTTTCCTCTCCTTTGGAGAGGCGCCGTTTGGAGATGAGCAAGGGCCCCCTGGCCCTTCCTCCGTTCCCGTGGCCTCCCCTGAAAGATCTCAAGCGGGACTCGCTCTTGCAGTCCTACTCCCGGCCATCCTGCTGGAGAGGGAGCTTAACCTGGCACAGCGACGCCGCCACTGGAAACGTCAAAGCGCCAGCCCGGGCGACAGAAAAGTGGCGTAGCCACAGCACTACCTGTTGGCCAGAGCACCCTTCATGCGCTTCTGGAGCCTTGCCAAGAGTGCCCCCCCCACAAGGCCCTTCCCCAAATAAAAGGATGTAAAATGGCAAATGCTAACCAGCAAAGACTTCATTGTGGAGCAGGGGCGGAGGGTGGCTGCCTGTCCCAATGCCCTCCCGCCTTTGGAGAGGGACTCCGCCAGCCAGTGCAGTCCTAGCCTGGCCTTGTTTCAAGCAGGCAAGCCTCCTGGGGCAAGGTGGTGGTGGGGCAGCGGGACCTCCAGGCACCTGCCCCACCTGCAGCCAGGTTTGCGTGGGAAGAGGCGCCCGGAGCTCATTTGGGTCCTACAGGTCTAGCCCCCCCTTTTTCTCCTGAACTGGACCCAGTCTGGGGAAGAAAATCAGGCAGCCAGTCCAGTTGATTGAAAAACCAGAGTCAGGCACACCTAGATTCTGTGCCCACCATCAGTTTATGAAAGCGAACCCTTGCACGCAGCCCCTTGTCAAACGTGGCTGCAGGCCTTCGCCCCAGACGCTTTGCTGGGCCCAAAGTTCCCCTTTCCAGGGTCAAGGGCTGTTGGAGCCGGGCAGAGAGACGTGGCCAGAACAGCTGCCGGGGCGCTCAGAGCAAGGTCAGTTCCAGGAACGCTCACAGGTATCCAGCCCCCAAACGCCTGCAGAGGGAAGGAACGCCAGGTGAGCTGGATCAGAGTTTGGGGCAGAGGTTCCCGGGTGGAATTACAAGCGGAAATTTCTTAGCAGGAAGGACATGCCTCGGTTTGGGGGGGGGAAGTAGCGTAACAGGAGTTGTTCCCTAAAGCAGAAGCCTTTCCCAGAATAAGGATGCTCCAATCACACACACACACACAACACCCCCTGCCCCCCAAATACATGGATAAACCAAACAATGCCGTCGTGTTATTTGGTGACGAAGGAAGACTGCTGTAGGAGCTGCTCCATTCGTTTGCCATACCTCTGTAACACTTTTAACTTCCATGGGAAAATTTGCTCACTTATCTAACCTGGTACTTACCTTGCAACCAGTTTCACCAAATGAGTTTGTTCTTCACAGTTCTACAACAGGCAATATGAGCAGTTCAAACAACAAGCAAAGGCTACACTCTCTGCACCCAAGACCTCGACAACGGCACCAATATAGAAGCTGCTTGTAGCCTTTACAAAGTTCAAGCGTGCCTTTAATGTTCAAGATTAGATTAAAAATCCAAGACATCTTCTTCAAGGGGGTTGGGTATCCGTGACAGAGAAGAATCAGCTCCACATGCACAATCTTCAAAACCCCAGAATAAAATATGAACTCAATTGCATATACATGAACTCACTATGTAGATTCACTCCTCTCACACAAACATGTAGGGATCAGAGCTAGACCAAGCTGGCAAGGGCTTTAGCAGACTAAGTGGCAGTAGCCACTTTAGCTTTCCTGTTCTTTCTGATTCAAATCTCTTACTCACAGCCCTGCTCTTTCTCAGTCCCACACGTTTCTGCTGAATCAATATTTCATAGGGGTTGCATCTCCTCTACAGGTGAGGTGGAGCACCAGATCACATCTGCTGGCAAAAACTGCAGCTGCTTTCTCCTCTTCTCCACCCCCCCCCACAAAGTGAACAATTCTTTTCCTCCAAAAAGCCCCAACTGGCAATACAATTAGCCTCTGAATGCACTTGAAGACCATGGATAAGCTACACTGCTTAGATTATTCTGCTAAATGCAGACAGAGAGCATTCCAAGGGCTCGGTTGGTTGGCTGGTTTCCCTTTCTATCCGGTCCCCTTAGTGTTGCTGCTCTCTTGATGCCAGTCATTAGGTAGTTTGACATGATCCTGCCATAGTCCTGCAAGCAAGCAAGAGAATGGGGAGAGACTTATGCATTGTCAGTTGACCAACAAAATGCAGTTAAGAAATGACTGCTTTCTCCAAAGGTGAAACGCCCAGCATTTAAACAAAAAATACAGAGCACAGAACTCTTTGCATTTTTGCAAGTACTGTACTGTAATGATAGGGGCTGAGTTGGAATTTGCTTATATTCAAATTTCCAACATCAGCTTTAATTGTCATGTGAAGCTGCCTTATGGTGAACAGCACTGGGTTAGCGGAATCCTGCTAGCTGAAGACTGTGGTGAGATGACTGAAGCATTATGAGAACTGTAGTCCAACACCTCAGGAGGGGACTATACGCCTCCATTCCCTTACACCTGGAAAGGCTTGCCCTTTTCTTGCTCCTCCTGCTCTCAGAATCAGGGGGCAGCAAACTTCTGAAGGGGTGCATGGGACCCCCAAAGTAGAAAGATGCACGTGGAGGTTACTTCTGAACTCTAGCAGAAATCTATACAAAAGCAATGTTTATTTCGTGGCACAATTCAAAGTTCTGGTTTTAACCTATAAAGCCCTAAACACCTTGAGTCCAAACTATCTCAAAGACCGTGTCTCTCTCAATGAGACTGCCTGGGCTTTAAGATCATCAGGAGAGGCCTTCCTCTCAGTCCCTTCACAGGTGTTTGGTGGGGACACGGGAGAGGGCCTTGTCTGTTACTGCTCCCAGACTTTGGAACTCCCTTCCACTGGAGGCCAG